AAGAGAAAAAATGAACTATAACTAAAATCACATTCACATCTCACTTGAAAAAATAGAATGAATAATTATTTTTATAGATTAAAAAACATCGGAGGGACCAAAGGTCACCGTTACTGACAATAAAAATACAAATTAAATAAAGGAATTTGTTGATGAGATGAGAAAATATTGAAGAGATAAGTAATTCTGTTTATTATTCAAGAAGCGGCAAATCCTGCTATCACAGAACAAACAACCCAGAACAACAACATTTAGGAGGAACAAATCCCCCATGTTATACAAAGATCATGATTAACCACATCACTCCTAATAATTTTCCTAAACATATTTACTCTAACTATCCCTTTTATACATTCTATAATATCTTCAACACCTCTATGTATACCCCTAAACTGCCTATGATTTCTCGTTTCCATATACAATATATGTAAGCATTCCAAAGTAACTTAAGTGTATACACCTGTTTTGTCCGAATTTTAATTATTATTATTATTTTATTTTAATATTAATACATTTTATTTTATTTAAAGACCCAAAACCCAATTACAAGGAGACCAACTAGCCCTAACATTACAATAGACCCGGGCCCAACCAAAAGGGGCCCTATAGAGCATCCCTCACCACTCCATCACCGACTGTTGTTGCCTCTGTCGTTCACCTCAATCGCGCCGACACTGCCGAGAAGGCCATTGTTTCAACCACTCCATCGTCATCACCTTAGCAAACAATGAAAAGGAGGGAAATCAGTCAATCCATACCAAACTCATTAAAAATCACACTAAATAAAAAATGGATATGGTTTTTAATGAGGTTTAGGGAAATCATTTCCCTATGGCCATAACTTTCACCGAATTATCACCAAACACAACAACCATATAAGGAAAACAGAGGAAGAAAAAGAGGGGATCGAAAATACAGAGGGAAAACGAAAGGAAAAAAATAAAAAAGAGAAAAAAAACGTTACCGCTCAGTTTCAAACGCCCTTGATTCGCCGGAGTCGTGGAGATCCCCACAACATTAAAGGTATCCCCTTTCTTTTTCGAGTTTTGGTATTTAAGAGAGTGTGATGAGTTAAGATAGAGATTTGGGGTCTTTTTGTTTGCGGGTTTGAAAAGATGGGGTCAAAGGAGATTATTGGCCTCTCGTCGGGATTGTCTAAGATGGTGGTCGGAGGGATTTAAAACAGGATGAGAGAAGAAAAAAAAAGTTTAATATAAAAATAAGTGTCAAAACTATACTCAAAATTAACTTTTGATACATAAGGTTTTTTTCGTTACACTTTTAGGTTTCTACCATTAAAATTTTTTATTAAGTGACACATGTCAAGTTCTGATTTTTTTAAAAAATATTTTTTAAAAATATTTTATTTAAAAAAAAAGATAGGCGCGACACGTGTTACTTAATAATTTTTTAAAGATAGATACCTAAAAATATAACAAAAAAAATTAAATACTTATTTTTAATATAAAATTCTTTATGCATTAAAACGTTGATGATACTCACTCATTTTTGTATTAAGCCAAAAAAAAATTGAAGGAAGGGGGAAACGGCGGCAGGAGTTATTGAAATAAAAGAATTAGGTTTTGTGAAACATAATTTAGGCTTGATTGGGCCCCAGCGAAGCATAGCCGTTTAGGCTGACCCACTATTTTCTTTTTTCGTGATTCATGGGTTATTTACAATATTAGGGCTTACTATTTTGCGTTCTTCTCTTGTTATCCCTGATTTTAGCAATGAAGTTCTTGATTTCAGATTTAAATTTTTGATCTGTTTCATTCTGGTCCATAATCCATGTTGGTTCTTATTTTTGTTTCTTTTATTTTAGGCATGTTATTTCATTGATTTTCATTTTAGTCCTAATTGGTTGTTAAGTGTTTTATTGCGATTCAAGTGCTTGTGCTTAACGTTATTTATGTTTCAATCCTCATCTTTGTCATGCCTTATATTTATGCATATTTAGTTTCTGAACTTGGCATTCAAATATCTCATGTTTGACACTCGTTGCATTTAAATCCCGCCTTTTAGTATATACGTATGCTATACGCAAACATATATTATAATTTGATTATGTCCATGTATATAAATTTGTGCTTTTTGGTTCTCATTTTTTTGAATATTAATATATATACGTAATAGACGTATTATACGCCTCTGTTTTCATGCCAGCTCTTTATTTATATATTAATTTATTATCTAAATATTTTTTGAGATGTTAATTAATGTTTCAACGCCTGTATGTATAGTAAGTATATTTTATATTGTTTCTCGTAGGTAATAGGTCACATGTGTACATATTTGTAATATTATTTATTTCTGTATACTAAGTACAATAATATATATATATATATTAATTGTATTATTTTTATGCATGCCATGTATGTATATGTGTAATTTGGTGCATATAGGTGTAGGTTTTATTTTAATTAATTTGTATGATATCATTCATTAACGTTCCTTGACTCGAATCAAATAATTTGATTAAAGTATAATACCCGTTTATTTTGAAATTGTGGGAAGTGATTGTCTTAAGGTATAAGAAGGTCACACTCGATGATTTTTAAAATAAAGGGGTATCATATTAAGCGAAATCATAAAATTTATTTCAAATACGAGACTTAGAAAAATATTACGTTATTTTAATTAAATTCACTGAGAAAAAACTATTAGATTAGATCTAAGATTTGGTCTCGATGTCTTTAAATAATTGAATATCTTTATTCTCATTAAAGGTTGGTAAAATAGTTAATTAATTGTATTCATTTGATGTATACATTTACGTTTCATCTTATTTTGAACGTGTTTAAAAGGGGTCTCAAATTAAGTTATACTTGAATGTATAAGTTTTATTGCAATGACAACTAATAATTAATTAGGTACCGATTTAGGACGTTGTGGGGGTGTTAATCCTTCCACGTGCGTAACCGACTCCCGAACTCAAATATTTGGTAACACATACCGTAAAATTATTGTTTTAATTCAAATTAATATTTTATTAAAATAACAAATATGTTTTTGGGTGCCCAATAACACCCTAATCAAATATTGGTGGTGACTCCACGAACCAATTTTATTGTTTTTAAACTCGAGCCCCAAATTATTCTAGGCGAATGTTTTTACAAAATCCCATTTTTTAATCGACAATATTTTAAAAGGAACGTCTCGACACTAAGAACGTAAACAATTAAAGATTTTCCTTTGAACCGTGCAACAACCCAACTGAACTATCCTTCCCAGCTCGCTACATCCCTCTCATTCCCATACAGCTCCTATTATCAGGCAACACACCACAGTTCCTACAGCTCCCATCAACTACCATCCCCATTCTAAGCAATCTATCAACAGCAGGTAGCCTATCTAGAATTGCCATCAAAATATCATAGAATGCTTGTGAACACTCATAGGAAACCAAACAATCTTCTGCCACACCACATTCCCAAACACAACCCTGATCTCATTCCAAATCCACCTTGCAGTGACCTTAGACCCATCAACCAAGGCACTATATTTCAATAATAAAAATAATAAAATAAATCAAAATTACAATAAACAAGTATAGAGAGAAAAATTGGAAACAATAGTCACCAAAATATTCATACAAAAATAAAATATTAAATCTTAAGATACAAAGAAAAACAAAACATTCTATTGAGAATGGCGACCAACATCAAAAGAACTCGGTAATCTTCATAAAAATTCATTGTCTTTGTCGAATGACACATTAGGAAGTGATGGAGTGTTGAGCGAACCAAACTATCTAAAAGGTTGTTTCGCTACACAATACTGATTATATCGACAAATAACATTTTACCAAAGAGATGATCTGACTATACTTGACCATTGATGAACAAATAAAAAAATAAATGTCGTGATGATTTTTGTACGAGCACCAAAACGACAATAAGATATGTGAAAAACTTACAAATTATTACTATTACACTATCATTAATTTCAATTGTTAAGTACTACTGGTTAGACATGCTATAATATCAATTCATTTTGAAGCCTAAAAAGGTACTGATAAATAAGAGATAATCTAAAGCCACATTTGTTATCCTCTAGAATATCTTTATTTACCAATGGCGTGGAATCGAAATATATTATAGATGATGAATATAACCTTTAAATAATTTTATAAAAAATATCTCTAATTTGTCGGCAAATATGTGTATGAGAAAACACCAAATGTGATGTTATATTATGTTTTGTATACAAGAAAGCATGGATTATTAAGTCGTATCTGTTTCCTTTCGCGTTAGGTTAATGGAAAGGGTAAAGTAAAAAAATGGTCCTCTGATTATAGGACACTACTTTATTAAGTCATTCGACTATTAAAAATTATGAAACGGTCATTCGACTATAGAGTGTTAATTTATTAAGTCCCTTGACTATTAAAAAATACAAAATGTTCAACTGACTATTCATTATATTTCAAACTTATCCTTTTATGCTAAAAAATTAACGACTTTATGAGCTAAACGTTATCTTGTTGACTGTGATATGATAAAACATAATTCTAAAATCTCAAACAACTTTCATATTTTAGTCATCATGTTAATATCTCGTTCAAATGATAGTCAAATTTTTAACAAAAAATTGATGAGTTTGAAACATAATAATAGTCGGCTGACCATTTTATAACTTTTAATAGTCGAGAGACTCAACAAAACAACACTCTATGATCAAATGATCATTTTGTAACTTTTAATAGTGTTAGAGCTTAATAAAGTAATATCCTATAGTCAGGGGACCATATGTGTACTTTACCCTAATAAAAATTAACAAACCCCTCACAAAATGCTACCGCTGTATAAGCCTAGAAACTTACACAAAATGCCAATTTAGTCATCTGACTGTTAAATCTCCGCCCTTCCTTCCTTATCACACCCAGTACTTCCTTTCTCTTATATTTATCTCCCCCACCATCATCTTCTAGCGGACGAGAGCTTCAGTTCTAATTTTTCATTTTTCCAATAATCACGCCTTCTTCATTATCCTATATCTGAAATAACTTCGTTTTCCCAGCTTTTAAACTAGTCTATCCTCTCTTATTCATTGGCTATTGCCGCCCTTCCTCGATTAGTTTTTAGTGCATTAAAAGGTCCGTTTTCTTCGCTCTCGAATCCTGTTTTGCTGCTGCTGCTCAGTAATTGTTGAAGCAAAAGGTTGAAAATGGCTCCAAGGAACAGCCGCGGAAAGGCCAAAGGAGAGAAGAAGAAGAAAGAAGATAAGCGTATATCTCCATTTCTATTAAAGCTTTTTCTGGATTTTTTCTTTAATATTTTTTTGTTCATTGATGAGATTCGAATCAGAAATTCGAGAATTAGCATGAAATTAGCACTTGTCCTATCATTTTTGTTTCGCCATTGCAGTTCTTCCATTGGCGATGGACATCACCGTACACCTCCCCGATGAAACTCATGTTATTCTCAAGGTTAATTTGTTCGTCGCTATATATTTCATGTTCTTTTGCACTCTCCATAATTTATGAACGAATCTTTGTTTTTTTAATCTGTAATTCAGTACAAGCTTCGCCCCTAACCGTTTCTTCTAATTCTGTTTTATCGTGGCATGCCATGCGTGCCTGTGAAGCCCTTACGCTTTTCTTTAGATTTTAGAGGCGACTCTCCACCTCACATGCTTTTCGAGCTTGGTTCTTTTAGTTACACAGCCGTAAATATTTTATTCCTTTCTATTACCATGAATGCTCACTGGTTGGTTATATAAACAGTCAAATACGAAAATACACTTCGAACATATCATAGTATTTTATAAAATATAAAAAAATATTTAATTTTTAAATTATTAAATTTATTAAATTGTTATAAAAAAATAGAAAGTGGTTGCGTGAATAGGTTAGGTACCAGTACCACAAAAGAATATACGGTTACGTAATTTGACTGTTGCAATATTTGGTTTTTTGTGGACAATTAGGCAAGAAATTAAAGTTTTATTTTGTTTTTATTTTATTTTCCACATGTGTTCTAATTTCTAAATTCAGATTGGAAAATATATGCAGGGAGTATCAACGGACAAAATCCTAGATGTTCGCCGTCTGTTGTCGGTGAAAACTGAGGCTTGCCACATCACCAATTTTTCGTTATCTCATGAGGTAAGGATAAAAGAAGGTGCTTGCATTTCTTATACAATTAATTACTTCTAAAGTTTTTTTTAGAAAATATATTATTTTATTAAACAAAATCTAATTCATTTATTTAATAATTTATAGATTTTCGAAAGAAAGAAAACCAAAGAGGGCAAAAGTGACACAAATAGGTTGAAATTGACACCTTGGAATCAATCACGGTGGCAATCATCCATTAATTGATAACGAAAACATTTATCAAAAACAGTGTTTAGTTTAATTATTCTAATTGTGAAAAAAAAACATAAAAAAAAAACTATAAACTTTTGAAAATTTGGACGGTAAATTTCATCACGTATTTGATATTTTCCTATTAACTCGGTGCGAACAAATGTTGCAATTGAAATTCTCCCGTTTTTTGTAAAAGGATAGGTTGATTGAATTATGTAAAAATAATTTATTTAATCAGTAATTTTTAAAATTTTCAAACAGTTATACAATTATTATAACAATTTATTTAATTGTTATAAAATAATCTTTAAATTAATAAATTATTATAAAATAAATTTAAGTTATCAAATTTAAAATTTAATGATTATTTTATAATATTTAAAATATTATTTTTACACTATTCAACAATTACTTTATCTTTTCAGGAAAAAAAGAATTTCTTTGTCATAAAATTCTCCGCTCCCTTCCCACCTACTTTTTTATTTTGCAAAATTGGATTCTCTTTATTTACAGAAAATCCAAAATTTGTATTGAAATGAGGATTGAGAGAAAATCTGGTGTCTTTTAGGCAATTTAGGCGTAGTTTAAGGGAAAATTTGAATGTTTCAACCTAAACTAATTATATATATATATATTGTTTTCTAAACTTTGCAGGTTAGAGGAGCGCGGTTAAAAGATACGGTCGACGTTTCAGCACTCAAGCCGTGCATTTTAACTTTGACCGAAGGTAAAAATTTTAGCAGGGCAAAAAAGTAAAATTCTACGACGATCAGTACTGTCATTGCATGCTAAGTACGTAATTACTAATTAGTAGTAGCATTACCATCTCAGAGTTATCTAATCGTCGTTGTTCTGTTTCTGCCATCAAAATTTGATTAAAAATATGAACAGACGACTACACTGAAGAGAGCGCGGTGGCGCACGTTAGACGGGTGCTGGATATCGTCGCCTGCACTACGTGCTTCGGGCCATCCGCCACCGTCAAAGATCAGCCCAAGCTTGACTCTAGCAAGAATACGCCGGTTGCGCTGGACAAGGGTAGTGTCGCCGCCAAGAAAACTACCGTCATTAAGGATAAAGAATCTTTGTCGAAATCTTCAACGAAGGACGTGCCAATTGATGCAGAAGGAGAGATAAGCCATTCTCGTCCTAAGCTCGGCACCTTCTACGAATTCTTCTCTCTCTCTCATCTCACTCCTCCTCTTCAGTGTACTCTCTCCCTCTCTCTCTCTCTCTCTCTCTCTCTCTCTCAAACTTTGATTTTTTTTTCTTGTTTCTCTCTCGCACGATTTGAATTTAGCAACATTTTCCTGCCTTTTCAGTTATAAGGAAAGGGGAGAAGCGGCATGTTGAGGAGCTGGCCAGTGACGATCATATCTTCTCTCTTGAAGTGAGATATTGTTTTCTGAACCGCTTGCAGTGATGCGTCTTTTTCTTCGCAGTACTATCTCTCTCTTAGACTCTTTCTCTTGTATTTGTAATGTGATTTTGTAATAACGATCAGGTTAAGCTTTGCAATGGAAAGCTGGTTCATGTTGAAGCTTGCCGGAAAGGATTTTGTAGCGTTGGGAAGCAGCTGATCCTTTGTCACAATCTTGTTGATTTGTTACGCCAACTCAGTAGAGCTTTTGATAATGTCAGCTTTTTTTATTTTCCCTCCTTTTTAGATATTACTTCTGTTTGTTTATTTTCTCTTTATCTAAACTAATAAAATTATTTGAAATATGATCCGCATCAAATTTTGATAATCTTTATGATAGGTTAGCGGTTTTGCAGATGATGTTGTCTTTTATATGTTATCATGGTTTTCCATCGTTAAGCATGATATAGTTTGTTTATCAGCATATCTTAAGGGTTGATTTACTTCTGTAATTTTGATGATATTTGTGGTTTTTTAGCTGAATGAGTGATGTGGAGATTGATTTTTATCATTGGTTTTTAGCACCGATGTTTCGGGAATATGTTGAAGTTTGATATGGAATGCTATGAACATGTTAATGGTAAATATGATTGTTTTGTGATTTTGGTTTTTCCACTTAGGTCAATGGTTACTAAGTGATACATTTGGTTGGTTACTAATCTTAAATTTGATATGATTCCTATTATTTGGTATTGTATAGTTTAGAATTTTTACAAGTGGTTTGTGATCAATTTTGACTTTGACTTGGGGAAAATAATGTATTTGGCTAAAAGAAATTTTTTGAATATGTTCAAGCATGATATTTGATCTTTGAAATTATAAATAATAATATTTGGGTATGAAGTTTAATTGAGTACTCTAAGATTTATGTATGAATTTCTATGGTGCTAAACTTGTGGATATGAGCTACCGACTACTGTGTTGGCATGACCTTTACATAGTTTTGTAATGGTTAAATTGATGAGAAACTTTCTTTTAGTTAGCGGAAAAGAAAAATGAAGTTTGTGTGTGATGCTTGAGGTGACTAGATGAGTTGTTGATATCCTTAAATCAGATTTAAAATTATATTGCCATCGATTGAAAGTTCCTTTCAAAGAGATTTTAATGACAATATTACGAATATGTAGTGCGTCTTTTCTACGTGTTTCTTTTGACTTGTTTTTGTGAAGTTAACTGAATTGTGTCTGAATCTATTAATTGGTTCATGTTTCCTCCTCTTATTTTTCTAAAGAATTTACTCATGTTAATATCTTGATATGTATATTACAGGCTTACTCTGATCTCATGAAAGCGTTTTTGGAACGTAACAAGGTATGCTCATTGCATCACTGCTTGTCCTTTTAATTTAGTTTCTTTGTTGGACTTAGCTTAAGATATCATCTATCAAGATAAACTACGATTGTGTTGTTTCACGATTTTTTTTCTTTTTGAACTTCTTTTTCCAGTTTGGGAATCTTCCTTATGGCTTTAGAGCCAATACCTGGCTCGTACCTCCAATCGCAGCACAATCACCTTCAAATTTCCCACCTCTCCCCACAGAGGATGAAACATGGGGAGGCAATGGAGGCGGTTTAGGAAGAGATGGAAAAAGTGATTTGATACCTTGGGAAAATGAGTTTTTATTTCTGGCATCTATGCCCTGCAAAACAGCAGAGGAGAGACAAATACGGGACAGAAAAGCATTCCTTCTTCACGGTCTATTTGTTGACGTGGCCATTCTCAGAGCCATTAAGGCTGTGAAGTATGTAATGGAAAATCTGAATCCAAGTTGTTCAATAAAGAATGGCGAGAATCTTTACACCAAGAGAGTGGGGGACTTGAATATTACGGTAATGAAAGATGCTTCAAATGCGAGCTGTAAGGTGGACACTAAAATTGATGGTATTCAAACTATTGGAGATCAAAATAATTTGCTAGAAAGGAACTTACTGAAAGGGATCACAGTTGATGAAAATACAGCTGCACACGTAAGATATTTTGGAAAACGTTAATGATGAATGATTCTCTTCACAGTTTGGGATTCTACTTTGTGAACTGATGGTATTGAAACAGATTTTACATGTCAACTGCAGGACATTTCAACTCTAGGTGTGGTAAATGTGAGATACTGTGGCTATATTGCCATTGTGAAAGTTGAGGGGAGACAGAAGGAGAAAAGCAGCCTTCCATCTCCAAGCATTGAATTAGAGCAGCCTGAAGGCGGGGCCAACGCCCTCAATATTAACAGGTTATTCTGATTCCCACTCTATGTTAAACATATGTATTTACAAGCTGTATTATATTTTATTTTATCAAACTGTCGATTTAACGTATTTTAACATGTTTAGTAAATGGGTCTCTTCTTCAGTGTATTTACAGTATGATTTAAAAAATAAAATTTTGTTTCAAGTTTGCATTAAATCTTTTATAATGTTCACATTAATCTTTTTTGTAGGGATAACGTAAACCTCAAAGATGCAAATCAGTGGTTTGGCGGTATCTTGATTAGCATCTAGATGCTGATGCTTACATATAATTTATAGTTTCAACTAATTTTTTGTGATTGATAAATGGGTCACTTCCTGAGTGTATTTACACTACGATTTAAAAAATAATATTCCGTTCCAATTTTGAATTAAGTCTTTTCCGATGTTCAGTATTAATCTTTCTTGGAGGGACAACTTAAATATCAAAGAGGCAAATCATTAGATTTACAGTTTCTTGACTTGCATCTAGATGGTACAGCTAGCATGTGGTTTCAACTTTCAACTAAATCTTTGTGTTCATTATTATTTTAGGGTATTGCTAACAATTACCTAGTAGGCAATCTTTTAGCATATACTATTTATTTTACTAACATTGTGCATTGGTCAATAACTTTATTCATTGTTTCCAATTCATTGGTGAAGATACTATTATATACAGTAATCTTAACGAGTGCCCTAAAATAATAGATTCAAACCTAAATCATTTATAGGTAAAAGATTACTGTATATAATAAAGTTAAGATCATTACTCGAACCTAAATGATGGAAATCACAGGATTGGTGGTTGCTTGACTTGCATCTAGATCTGTGCCTTGCATATAGATTCAAGTTTCATCTAAGTCTTTTCTAGTTTTATTTATCCTGAAGGAAAAACTCTAACCTCGAATATGGAAACCATTTATAGGTGGTTGCTTGAGTTGGATCTACATCAAATGGTCTGGCTTGCATGCATTTTTTGGTTTTAATGGGGTTGCAACATAAACATGTCTTTTAATGCTTCTTCCCTTTTTGATGAAAAAACTAGTAATTTGTTCACTACCATGCGTTCATTTCTCCATAGTTTCGGGGGGTTTTTTTTGCTTTCTTTGTCTTCATGAGCATAACTCAACATTTCCCATTTTTCTCAGTTTGAGATTACTTCTTCACAAAACAATACCTCCAGAACTCAATAAGCCAACTTCACCTTCACAAGTTTTGGAACATGAAGAGCCTAGTTGTTCTCAATTTTCGGTGGAGGACCTGGTGAAAGAAAGTCTTGCTAAACTTGAGGAAGAGGAACTCAAACAGGAACCTTTCATGAGATGGGAGCTTGGAGCCTGTTGGATACAACACTTGCAGGACCAAAAGAATACAGAAAAAGATAAAAAGACATCCAAGGAGAAGCCTAAGAATGAGATGAAGGTTGAGGGACTTGGGACACCTCTTCGGTCCCTCAAGAACAGGAAAAGAACAGATGGGAGTGCAGGGTATGGAAACTCAAATTCTCAACCAGGTGCTGTTGAAATCGGTGCATTTATGGAATCTCCACTTCAAACCCATTCAAGAGATGATGAACTTGGTTTGAAGAGCAAGTTATCTGAAGAGGCCTTCACTCGACTAAAAGAATCAGATACTGGACTTCATAGCAAGGTAGATATTACTGAATACTGGTAGCATAGAGTTTGTTATACGAGGAAGCGTTTGTCTAATATGTCCATTTTTGCGTGACAGTCTTTGCAGGAACTTATTGACTTGTCACAGAAATATTACATTGAAGTGGCTCTTCCAAAATTGGTAACCTGACTGTTACTTATTTTCTTCATTGTGTCTGTCGACAAGGCTAGGGCTATTCCTGGTTCTAGTACTTATTATGTTATTACAGGTTGCAGATTTTGGTTCTTTGGAACTTTCACCAGTTGATGGGCGGACCCTTACTGATTTCATGCACACTAGAGGCCTTCAAATGCGTTCTTTGGGACATGTTGTAAGTGCCATATGCTGGGATATTTGTCTCTTAAATGCTTTCCTTGTACAACATCATTTGCTGCCCATCCCCTTGCCATAAAATTGCTTCTGGTGTTTTGAGCCTGTGAGATATAGCAATATGTAACACCGACATTATCATTTTCCGTAACAAGTTTTTGCTTTATATTTATATTCATAATAAGTTATTGATTGAAATTTCTTTTCTGCTCAGGTCAAGCTTTCTGGAAAGCTATCGCACGTGCAGTCACTTTGTATTCATGAGATGATTGTTCGGGCTTTCAAGCATATCGTACAGGCAGTGATGGCCACTGTTGACAACACTAATAAAATAGCTGAGTCAATAGCTTCTGCACTGAACCTGCTGCTTGGAGTCCCTGATAATGGAGCACTACACAAGTCTTGCAAAATCCATTCCTTGGTGTGGAAATGGTTGCAGGTCTTCCTGAAGAAGCGATATGAATGGGATATTAGCAACTTAGATTTCAATGAAATCAGGAAATTTGCAATTCTACGTGGATTATGCCAAAAGGTACACAGGAAGCCTGATTTTTTTGTTTACTTTTTTAAGGATTTGTAGATGAATTACCTTCCACTGTGTTCACATATTAATTATAAGAAGCTAAATTGTCCTTTGCCACTATTTTTGAAATTACAGTGACACGATACATAGGACTGCTCCTGGATAGTTTCTTACTTTATAACCTAGTTTCATTAGTGCTCTTTCCATGGAAAGAGCATATAATCTATGTAGGTGATAAGCTATGTAGATGATGGATTTTGCTATCAATGTGGCTGAAAACACAATTTTACTCTTCAGAATTTACAGTAAGGAATGGCTGTGTAGAGTACTTTGTATGCCTCGGGAATGGTTATAATTTATAAATATAAAAAACAGGAACTGGTTGTCGATGAAGTATCAACTTCCTTTTTCTTTCCTTCATTTCTTTTAGGTTGGGATTGAGTTGGTTCCAAGGGATTTTAACATGGATTCTTCAAGCCCATTTCAACCATCAGATGTTGTCAGCCTGGTTCCAGTCCATAAGGTGATAAACTCAAATCACGGAACATTCTCTTTTCTCCCTCCCCAACTTTGTTTCTGAATATGTTCACTTTATCTTAGATTTGTATGTTACTTCTTTCAGCAATCAGCATGCTCATCTGCTGATGGAAGGCAACTTTTAGAATCATCAAAAACAGCCTTGGATAAGGGAAAACTCGAAGATGCAGTGACTTATGGAACCAAGGTATATGACTTGTATCCTCTTTACACCTCATTCCAGCCTTGTGCTCCATCAAAATCTAGTCTCTAAAGTCTAACCTACTTTATTTTTCTGGTTGTGACAGGCTCTTTCGAAGCTGGTGGCAGTTTGTGGTCCATATCACCGAATGACAGCTGGAGCTTACAGCCTTCTTGCTGTAGTTTTATATCACACCGGAGACTTCAATCAGGTCTTGTTATTAACTATTTCTATCTTCAGGGTGGAAATCCATATTATACTAGAATAATATTACCCAAAACAAATTTATGGAAGTATTCTTATTTGAAACTTGAATTTTGTTTACTAGGGCTTTCAATTTGAATTTGAATAAGTAATATTTTTCCAATTTCAGGCCACAGTATATCAGCAGAAAGCCTTGGATATCAATGAGAGAGAACTGGGACTAGACCATCCCGACACAATGAAGAGTTATGGAGATCTTGCTGTATTCTATTACAGACTTCAGCATACAGAACTTGCTCTTGAGTACGTTAGTTTTCATTTTATACATTTTAAATCATGGCTAACGCAAGTTGGTTACAATTTATTCTTAGTGTCATGTAGCTGTTTACGTACCTTTTAATACCACAGATTATGCGTTATAGATGTTAAAGCATCTTCACAGTTTGTAGTGGTCATTCAATGAATTTCAGTTTCATGGATCCTAGGTTCTTAGATGCCTATAACTAGATGCATTTCTTTTGAACCCAATCATATCGCGCATAATGGGTTTCTGAAGAAGTATCACGCAATACGATTTAAAGTCATATTTTCCAACCTTTTAATCTAACATTTGTAAATTATTGTCTGATCAGATATGTAAAGCGTACCCTGTATCTTTTACATCTTACTTGTGGCACGTCTCATCCAAATACTGCCGCAACATACATAAATGTAGCCATGATGGAAGAAGGGCTAGGCAATGTTCATGTTGCCCTTAGATATCTCCACAAAGCTCTGAAGTGTAACCAAAGGTTACTTGGTCCAGACCATATTCAGGTTTGAGTTTTTTTTTTAAATCTTTTCCTAGTCAATAATCTTTGATATTTGTTATTTTTAAATTTGTTTTCATCATACACATCTTAAATGACTAAAACTGAAGTAATTGCAGAGTTTTTTTTTCATATATATTTTTTCTTGGTTTTTCTTTTAAAGGTAGTGCTTGCTTCAATAATCCTAATCCAAAAATGCATTCAGGACTACAGATAATTAAAGTAGTTCATAAGCATGATAAGTTAGGTCACATTGTGGTTGGCAAGACAATACTGTATCAGATGTTTCTGAAAAGCAGTGTCTCTTAAAACATGGAAATGGCTACATGAAACTTGATTTCGTATATATACATGCTTCCAAATCATCTCTTTGGAAGTATTACTAATGTATTATGAAATTTACTTCTGGTTTCCTTTTTCCTAACCAGAATAATGCTTTCTATGATAATATGTCCAGACAGCAGCAAGTTATCATGCCATAGCAATTGCACTCTCATTGATGGAAGCTTACCCTTTGAGTGTACAACATGAACAAACAACCTTGCAAATTCTCCGAGCAAAGCTGGGACCAGATGATTTGCGTACCCAGGTCTCTTCCTCATGCAAACCATAAATTGATCATGTACACTGATTCAAACCACTAATAGAAGTAACTTGCGATCTATAAACAGCACAGATACTGGTTCAAACTCTTAGTTGACAGAATAGAATGTAATGAAGAGAAAGTTGGCAGCAACAGCAGCTTTCTAATTTTTGACATAAACACATCAATTGCATGGCTTAAATCAATAATTTCTGACAGGATGCTGCTGCATGGCTTGAGTACTTTGAGTCCAAGGCATTTGAACAACAAGAAGCTGCTCGACATGGTACTAAGAAGCCAGATGCATCCATAGCTAGCAAGGGACACCTAAGGTAAATTATCTTTGCATATTCACCTGATAAGTGACTAAGAAATTGTTGAATGTTGTAACGCTATGCGGTTACGTATTGCTACTTTATGTGGCATTGACATAATTGCTCCTTCTGTTATGCCAGTTGCTTGTATATCTCCCAGTTAACAAGTGGGAAAAGTAATCAATATCCTTTGCTTGTGGATTCTTAAGATTTCACTTATTTCTCTCTGCTTAAGAGAATAAAATGTTCCTTGAGCGCGTTAGCAAAACAAATTAGTTTTCTATATGGTCTGCAATATACCATAAACACCTGTCTCAGCCTCTTCTCGTCATGGCTGGTGGATTATTATTTTATTTGTACCAAATTGAGGAAAATGAGAACAAAACTTTAGCTTGTTGTTTCAAATGTTTTTGGCCGGCATAAATAATTTTGAGCTCTAATATCTAAAATGTTAAAACCTCTTTTTACCGTTTGGGGATATTTATACATCCTTCTACTGGTGTTGATGTCTTACGCAATTTTGCAGTGTATCTGATTTGCTTGACTACATTAGTCCAAATCATGATGCCAAAGGAAGAGATACTGCAGCAGGAAAGAGAAGAAGCTACGCTATGAAGGTAATGTGGAGTTTTATTTGCGGTTTCTCAAACATCTAGTTGACATAATTTTTGATGACTCGCTTGAGATGAGTTAGGATCTAGCTGCCGTCTATGACAATATCTAGAGTTTGTTGGTGACCAAGTTTTTGCATATTGTCTAAGAGCAGTTTAAAGTCCTTAACTACTGAGTTAGCAAAACCGTCATAATGAGGCTCCATTAGACTGATGCATAATATTGCTTAAGTAAACCTTGAAGACATGGTGGCACATTCTTCTCCAAGAAAGGGGAAAATTTACTTTCTACTTTTGTTTAACAATTTTAAATTAAAAAAAAGGAATGCATCTAGACATCCTGGTATAGGCATAGCCGTATGGTCATGGAACGACTCATCAGACAAGCCTGGATAATAGCAAGTCCTTTTTTTTCCGAATAGAATAAAGACAAAAAATAGCAAGTCTGCATTCTAGGAAAAGGGCAACATGAGTTTTTTTTTTTTGGCATGCACTACCTGATGAACATTTTTCTTCCTTTTATTTTACTCAATTTCAATTCTCCTATGCAGGTGAAGGGAAAACTCCATCCGGAAAACTCCGAGGGGTCTTTCAAAGAGGCTGCAAAAGAGGCTTCAGACGAAGAGAAACTTTTATCTGAGCAGGAAGATAAAACATATGTTAAGCAGAAGACTAGCTCTTCACCTTTGCAGCCCCTTGCTCCTGTTGCAGAAGAGACAACTGAGGCAAAACCAAACATTGATAATCACATTCATTCTGAATTACATGACGAGGGGGATGATGGGTGGCAACCTGCTCAAAGGCCAAGAGCATCTACCTCATTTGGTGGACGGCGACTAAAGAATAGGCGAGCAACTATAGGCAAGGTTTTTAGTTATCAGAAAAAGAATATTGATTCTGATGTGGAATACCCCCTGGTCAAGGCTGCTAATCAAAATAGTAGGTATTACTTTTTAAAGAAACGGGCAATATCACATGGAGCTTATACAGATCAGCACACCTTGAAACCCTCCCAAGGTTCAAAATTTGGACGGGGAATAATCAAAACCGTTACGTACAGGGTTAAGTCCACTCCATCAAGTAAAATTTCAGCTGAAATCTCTGGAAATGGAGGCGAGGTCATAAGTTCTTCAGGAGGATCTGCTTCCACCTTGCCACCAAATGATCTCCGACCTATAGTTAGTCTTGGGAAATCTCCTTCTTACAAGGAAGTAGCTTTGGCCCCTCCAGGAAGTATCTCTAAACTGCACATCAGGCCTGAAAGTGATTGCCCTGATAGCCCAGATCTGAGTGTTGGAAAAAATCAGGAGGATGTTAATGAAATAAAAGACGAGTTGGATCAGTTGACTACAGGGACCAAACACATATTTGAAGAGAAGAATGAAAATGCTTCATTGGATTCAATAGATGGCTCAAAAGAGGAAATTGATGTAATTGCAATTCAAGAAACTAAATCACCTACTTTGATGGAAGATAATTCATCCTTGGTGGTGACTGAGAGAATGGAAGGACAAGAACTTGAAGCTGGTGGTGATGAGGCTCAAGAAGTTGTACAGGATGACACATTCATAAGTGGCATGCCAAGTTCTATTGATTCTCCTGAAAAGGAATTCTGCGAGAAGAATTTGTTCACAAGTTTTGTACCCCACAGAGTTTCAAGCTCCAATTTACAAGGGGTAGAAGAATTGAAGGACAAATCCTTAGCCCTAAATTCTGGTAACAGTCAGGGACTTGCCAACAAGAAGTTGTCCGCGTCTGCAGCTCCTTTCAACCCATCAACACCCATTCCACGTCCTGCACCACACCCTATGAACATCACCCTTCCTCCTGGAGCTGGACCTGTTCCAGCCATTGCGCCTTGGCCAGTGAACATGCCTATTCATCCTGTATCGCCTCCTGTCTTACCAAATCCCATATGCTCCCAATCTAACCATCCATATCCATCACCTCCTCCAACTCCAAACATGATGCAGTCTCTATCCTTCATTTATCCACCCTATACTCAACCCCAACCTGTACCAACAAGCTCCTTTCCAGTAACTAGCAGCGCTTTTCACCCTAGCCAATTCTCATGGCAGTGCAATGTGAACCCCAGTGTACCAAAGTTCATTCCTGGGGCAGTTTGGCCCGGTCATCCAATGGATTTCTCCATACCATCAAGGATTGTTGAGCCAAATACTGATCATATATTGGAACCAAAAATCCAAGGTGACGGTTCTAACCCTAGTTCAGCTTCAATGCATCCAGTGGATATTGACAATGCAAGAGAAGCTAGCAAAGAAGTCAACATTTCAACATCTGAGGCATTAAATAATGCTAATGAAATAGCTAGCTCTGGGTTGGAAAGTCCGCACGAAAATGGTCACTTGAATCAATGTATCTTTTACAATTCTGGAAATCAACCGAGCCAATACAACAGCCCAAACAAAAATGCCGGAGGCAGCGCTGAAAGGAAGAGTGATGATGAGAGAACCTTCAGCATTCTAATAAGAGGTAGAAGAAACCGGAAGCAGACGTTGAGAATGCCGATCAGTTTACTTAGTCGACCATATGGCTCGCAGTCTTTTAAAGTTATATACAACAGAGTTATTAGAGGGACTGAAGCTCCAAAACCTACTGATTTTTGTACGAGTGATGATTGTACAGCTAGTGCCACATAGCCAAAAGCTTTTTCCCTTTCCTTGCTGATTTTATCATAGAAAGATTGTCGAACAGGGCAGAAGAAAAAAAAATGATCAGTCTTCTAGCTTTATGGGAACAAGGACGAGTGTGGCTTTTGAAATCAGGTATCATGACTTAACAGTTTCTATTTGTGTTCAACCTTTTGGTGTGGGCATTTTGTTGAGAAGGTTTCATATTTGTGCAGAATTCAGAAATGATCCATTCTTTAGAAAAGCAACTATGATCTAGAAAGATACAATTAGGGCTTTTTGAGTGAGATAGGTCCAGAGTTTAGAAAAGCATACTCAATGTGGCGGGAGTGGAGTTCAGTTTTTCCAACTTAGGACATTTGCAGTTGTGTTTTTCATGTGCTAATGTATCACTGTGGTTTTGTTCTGCAGGTTCAAATGGTATTTAAATACTGGAGATTTAAGGAGTTGTTAAGGTGACAATTTTGGTCTATACTTTAGCTAGAACAATTTTTTATATTATTGAATTTTAAAACACTGGTTTCACCTTTTCGTTTTTTATAGAAATCACGCTGGTATTGGTTTCATTCAATTGTATACGACTTGCTTTGAAAAATATTTTGATGGATTAAAGATCAAAATCGTTCTAGATACATCTTTGATGATGGATCCTCACTTCATGACCACGAACAGACAAATGCTTCATTTTGCGAGAAAGGTTAAAATTTACACTTCACAGAAGGGGAAAAAGAAACTGAGTCATGTTTGTTCTCTGGAAAACTCAAATTGGAATGGTTCAACTTCGGCAAACATATAGGAAGCTATTTAATCACTTTTCACACGAACAAAACTCACTCATGAAATGGATTTCGTAGCAGTTTCCGGTCAGGGGTTAAAGCCCGAACCAGGTCTCGTATAAGTCGAACAATGGTGTTGGCCATGGATTGACTTCTTCAATGATCAAACTGGCGAAAAAACTGAGCACACCTTTCAGATGCAAAATACATTACCCATCGTCACCAACCCCTTAGATCTGTCGATACTACCAAGATTTTCTCAACACGAACTACTAAATTTGATTCATTTGGAAGTTTGGAGGCAGATTGGGCTTGTCATCTCTTCTTCTCCTCAAACAGGAGAGTGCTTCTAAAACAATAATTACAAGTAAAGTTATAGCAAGAAGGAACCCATAGCCAATCTTCCATTCATCCCTTGCATTAGCGTATTGAATCCCCAATACGATGTTCACAGATCCAAAGAAAAGTGCCATTCGTCCGAACCAATGGTGGTACCAGTTCCAATATCGCCGGTACTTGGAATCTTTGTTAGGCCGTAGGAAAAAAGCCAGCACCTGAGATCACGTTTGTCACATTTTCATCAGTAGTTGTAAAAGAAAAAACAAGCGTCAGAGAGGTGATAATCGTGCATTGCAAACCTGAAGAATGCTAAGCACAAGCACAAAGATTCCTATGCCTCTATGAGCTGGAATATCGGCATTCATGCTTTGGTAAAGTTGTAATCCGAGGAGTACGGCTGCAAGTCCGAGGATGAACCCGAGAAACTGGATCGCAGCATGGAGATAATACCAGAGTGGATCTTTGTGCTTCAAGTATCTCGCAACGATAGCACCCGCCGGAAGGAATAATCCCCATCCTAATAAACCCAATGTCCCATGGTTCTTCCTCTGGCTTATGTCTATGTTTGTAACAGACGCTGCAAACGGGGTCGATCCATGATTATATCATATGTTAACATACATTTTCAAATTGAACTTAAGATGAGCAAGCAAACCTTGAGAGAAGTCAAACCAAACGGCGGCCTTATCATCATGTCTAGTTAGGTGCAAATGATTAGGGTATCTGGTTCCAAAAGCCAGTATAATCGGTTGCCGACCGAGTCTATGTTCGAACTTGGCTTGAAACGCCAAGTAAATCATGGCCCCGTGAAGGGCCACAACGGGTGGAATATTGTTAAGTGGCAACTCACCCTTATTAGCTATGACTTGGTATGTATGTCTACCTTGCAAGTAGAATTGCCTGATTCTCGCTTGTTCTTTTTTATTAAACCACCCCACCATGGCACTCGATCCAAGCATCATCCCGTTCCTCGAAAAACCGATCCCCACCCATCCGGTCGTGTATACTGCTGATAACACTATTGTCATCAAATTGTCTGATCTCTGATTATACTGCATATACAAGTAAACAACGAACCATCACTAGCTTAGTAAATGAATTCGCTAAAGGCTTGTTCATGTAGAGTTGAAAGAAACAACTTACCCTCAAAACAAAGTTATTCCATATAGGCGAACAAACCATATTGGAAGCAGAGATATTGCCATAAGGTGGACCAAGAAAACTTAGATCAGTACCACAAAGCTCGGATCTTGATCTTCCATCAACACTGGTACCAGCAGTGCTACTAGTAACTGAACCATTGGTTAAAGGATCCTTCGTATCTTTCTCGACTCGGATCTCCTCGACACCCACAGCGACGAATCGTTTATGTTCCAGGGTTATACAAAGAAGGCATAACCCAACAAGTATCCTGGAAAACGAAACCCTGAATCTCGAAGCGGCCATTGAGATACAAAGGGCCGAAGTTGAACTAACGAGCAGTTGTAAGAAGAAAAAAAGAGTGTGAAGGCAAAGTCGCGCATGGTGGTTAAGATGTTTCGGTTTATTTAAGCTCAAGGCTTTGAATTATGACGGTTGGTGGTGGTGGTGATAAATTGGCGGGTGCAAAATAATCATCATTCCCACCAGCAAACTCATCAACAAACGACAATTTACCTTTGGATGTTTTTAGATCGTTGTCACTTAGCAAGGGAGGAAGATATTAAAAAAAATTGAGGAACACAGATTTATGGAAGGACAAATCTAATTGAACCGTCATAAGCTTCAACTTCACAGGTGTTAAGTAAAGGGTCAAATTATGGTTTTGGTCCCTCTATTATCCACTATGTTACACGTTTCATTTTCAACCTCTACTAAGTTAATTTATTTACGGTTTACTAGGCCTAATATAAACTTGTGGATAATGAATAAGAATTTAAATATGCATATGCTAACCATCCCTAATGAATTTTTTATTGGACGGATTGTTTTAGAAGGAAATTGGAATCTTTTTAAAGATCTACTAGTTAGTTGCTATGTTTCTTTATATAATATGCTTTCTTACAACTCACTGCTATAAAGTACAAGTAAATGATTAAAATATTGAATATATATATATGAACAATCATTTAAAAGTTAACTACTGGAAAGATTCTTGTTGAATCTAACATTATGAAATTTTATTTTTAAAAAAAAGAAGATAAATTTGAGTTTTATAGGCAGAAAGAATAATGTTTGGTGATACGTTCCTTGCCACTGGCCTCGTCAACTTCAACAATCAGTTTGCTCTTAGCAACACCACTCTTCTTCATCTGAACTGTTCTTCGATCTCGTCTTCCGCTTGTATTGCTCCTTCCGGTGGTAGTGGTTGCCAAGTTGTTCGTCACTAATACCACCTTTTTGGGGTCGATGTTCATCGTCTTAAACAACTTTTGCTAGTCGCAGTTCTTGCAATCCGCTAGGGTGAAATCCATTTTCTCATAGTTTCTGCAGAATCCTGATGGGGTCACCTGTTTTGAACTCTACAGCGTTTATGAGACCCGATTCTTTTGCTTATTTTTTGCTCGTTGAAGTTTGACAGTTACGGATCCATAAATATTTTTCAAGATTGACACATATTAATTATTGAAAATTTCATGTAGGTAGACACAAGTAAAATTTCAGGTTGACACCTATAGTAAAAAAAACATCTAATATAAAAAATTCGGATTCCAGGGTGGGCACGTGCCCACCTGAAGATGCTTTGCATCCGCCACTGAAGTTTGGCCTCCGATAGGATGCAGAAGAACCTCACCCCGGTGTGTTTCGCGGCGGTGGCTAACGCGTTCGTGTAGGATGAGACACCGGATGTGGTCTCCACTTATCCTCTCGTGACGTGAGATGATCTAATTATAAGTAAACACGTTTTAGAAGGGCTATAAAGCAATTCTCATATTTTAAGCCGCACGAATGATCACTCGAACATGAACATTCTAATGAATAGTTGATAAGTTCAACCATTTTGAATCGGGTGGGTTGGCAGCTGCCCTGAATTTGACTATCCGGAATGCCGCTGATCGACAAAGACCACAAAATTGATCACATTTAGGGTTTAACGTTATTTATTTATCCCCATCACTTACATTCTCCTCGTTTTTCCCATTCTTCTAGCCTCATTTCTCAAGCATGCAGCATTACGTTGAATGAGGCCCGACTTTGTTGTTTTTGGTCAAGTCAAAAAAATATTTGGTAGAATGATATAAATATCCTCTAACATTTGCAAAAATTGTCGATTTATCCTCTATTCATTTTTGGATCATTTTACTCGCAGACGTTTCAGTTTTTAATCGAAACCTAATAACTTGTTGGAAAAAATTTGATAATTTTGGAATTTTGAATAGGAAATTGATCCAAACGTTGTTGAGGAAAGTGTGGAACCAATTGTTGGTTCGTAAATGTGCACGATGTGGGTAACATGAATGTCCAAACCGATCTAGCTCTTTGTGGGCTTGCGGATATTTTAACCCAAATATGAGATATTTTCCTCAAATAGAGAATATCTTTTCAAAATCTATTTTGGAATTAAAAGGATAAATATTAAAAGTTCTTTTAAACAAAACAATAATTTTGGAAATTGCTTAATTGTCTGATTCTCATTAATGCTTCATTAGGTAAAAAATTTCCAATTGTTCACAACGTGAACTCCCTATAAATATCGTATTAACATACTAGGTTAAAAACAATTCAAAAGCAACTCAGAAATCAATTCAAGGTTGTGATAGGCGAAGACAAGGAATAATTCGTGATCTCGGTAGTTATGCTATTATGTGTTGATCATCTCATTGTTGTATCCTGGGAGGCAGACGACCAAAGATCTCGAGCACCAAGGAATGACCGAAAATCTGTCTTAAGAAAATTAAGTAATTGCATGCCTCAACTTATTTCTATTCATATATTTATGGTTTTCTATTCATATTATTTAATCGAATATTTTCCATTTTATAAATTGTGTTTGTTTTATTCTTGCATGAATCACCGTGATAGCAAATTCTGGATTTATAAAATATTTGATTTTTTATTTGTTCGTCTCATATTGTTATACCTATAACAATCTTATGACATATTCTATCTTCTACCTTTTTGGGAAAAAAATCCGAGACGATTCAAAAATCTTGGAAAAATTGAGATAAACAAATAAATTCGTTTTCAGGATTTATCATGCCGTTTTAACGAGTTTGCTTAATTTTAAAGTAGACAAATATATGTAATAGAAATTATCGTTAGACAAATATATGTAATATAAATTATCGTTAAAGTAACATTGGGTACTATGTTTGAAACGTTATTTTTGTTAGATAATAAAAATAAAAAATAAGCGATATTGATTTGAATATGCGCAATGGTAAATACACAAATTATTTTGCAAGCTCATGTATGAATCAACTTGTGTAAATACACAAATGCAAGGTGACTAACACATGATGATTTGCCTTTTTTGCAAATAAAAGAATAAATGTGTTTCTTTGGTTATAGAAAAAAAATTCATATGTGGTTATTGCATATAAATGTAGAGCAATCAAAGTATCAACGTGATTCTTTCTATATTATGGTATTATTGGGGAATATCATAAAAGTGCACTTGAGCATTAATCATTATATTGTTTATGATATTATTGTTATAGTATTATTACCATATAACCTTTGGTCTATTAATATGGAATATTAAATATGAAATGAATAAAGAATACCTTTGATATTTATAATTATTATTAAATGTTATAATAATTATTGTGTGTGCTTTTGGAAACACTATAAATTTTATTATTGTACTAAAAATTTCTTTTGAGAAATTTTGTAGATATAAACGGATTTAAAATTTAATCTAATGCTTTTGATTATTGGGTTATCAAAAGTAAAATCAAATGATTAGTTCCTTTTGATTATTGTGTTGCCAAAAGTAAAATCAAAGGACTAGTTCCCTTCAATTATTGGACTTAGAAAATTAAAATCAAATGATTAGTTCATTTTGATTATTGGGTTGGTAAAATTAAAGGATTAATTCCTTTTGATTTCTGTTTGTTAAACATAACCGAGTTATTGTAATATATCTGTTTTGAGTTTTAGTGTTACTAATCCTGTAAGTTAACAAAATATAAAGGAAATAAATCATTGGATTTATTTCATCATTAGAATATTGTGTTGATTCTAACTTTGAAATGAAAATATATTGTTGAATTTTTTTCTTGAGAATCTTTAATGATTCTAATATTGTAATAAAAATAAATTGTTAAATTTATTTTTCTTGAGAATCTCACATGATTCTGATATGTAAAAGAAAATCATAGAATTTATTTTCTTGTTTTGAAAAATGAAATAAATCAATAAATTTATTTTCCTAAGAATCTTGTATAATTCTTATATGTAAAAGGAAATAAATCATTGGATTTACTTTTCTATTTTGAAAAAAGAATTAAATCATAAAATTTAGTTTCTTGGTTTGTAAAAGGAAATAAATCGTTAGATTTATTTTCTTATTTTTTAAAAAGCAAATAAATTGCTGGATTTAGTTTCCTATTTTGTAAAAGTAAATAAATTGAAACAAATCGTTTGAGTTATTTTCCTGTTTTGTAAGAGGAAAATAAATCGAAACAAATTGTTTGATTTATTTTCCTATTTTATAAAAGAAAATAAATCGTTAGATTTATTTTCCTATTTTGTAAAAGAAAATAAAACGTTGGATTTATTTTCATGATTTGGAAAAGAAAATAAAACGTTGGATTTATTTTCATGATTTGGAAAAGAAAATAAATCGGTGGATTGAAATTATTTTCTTGGGAATCAAGTATGATTCTATTTTGAAAGAAAGAAAGAAATCGTTAAATTTATTTCTTTAAAATCTTGATATGTTTGTAAAGTGAGATCTTGAAAGTAAATTTATTTTGTAAATTGAATTATTGTCTTCATAATGTGTTTACCTGATTTAATTTTACAAACAAGAAGGAATAAATATTTTATTACCTTCATCGGTGATAGCAAAAAGTATTGTTATATATTTGCTAAAGAGCAAAGGTGAAGATATAGAGAAATATATTCTCTATAAATTCAAAGTTGAAAACCAACTTAATAAAATCATTAAGATGGTAAAAAGTGATATTGGTGGTAAATAAATTAAACCATTAATTGATCAATACTATGCACAACATGATATTATTCATAAAGTGACATCATCATGAGATAGCAAAAGCAGAAGAATTAATTCTTAAAAAGGAAATTATGAACGCAATGCTAAGAAGTTCTGGGTCATCACAAAACATGCTGGGGAAGCTATTTTTTCAACTAATTACCTTTTAAATAAGGTTCTCTAGAAGAAGAAGAAATTGACAAGACATCATATGCGTTATGAAAATGTAAAAAATATTTCTACAATTACTTAAAAATGTGGGGGTGTCTTGTAAAGATAATGATCTCATTATCAAAGAAAACGAAATCTCAAATCGATGGATTATATTGACTATATAGATTATAGTAAGACATATTGACATCTTGTGTATGAATCAAAATTTTTTGAGATTCACAAGAACATGATAACAAAATCAAAGAATATCTCATTCTTTGAAAATATATTCCCTTATATAACTAAGGAAGATGATTGTAGACTATCAATAAAGATAAGTATAGATGTTCAACGAAATGTTGAAACAAAGATATTATCATTATGACAAACCTCTGAAAAGCAATTATGAAAGAACTGAGATATCTCAGATATGCTCAAAAGTATGGATTGTATTATCCCAAGATCATGCTTCCTTAGAAGGATACTCTAATGCCAGTTGAATATATAATATTCAAGATATCAAAGATAAAAGTGAATATGTTTCACATTGGGAAGAGGAGTCATGTCATAGAAATCCTCAAGAAAACGGTTATAACCAAATCTAAAATGGAAAGACAAGTCTAGAGAATAAGTTGAATGATTTAGAATTTCTTGGAGGATATTCTTGAATGACCAAAGTTTAGGCCCACAATATTTGTATATTGGTAGAGCACATAACTTTATGTATAATGGTAAGTTGATATATATACATCATCAACACAATACCATTAGACAACTGATTTTAAATTGAGTTATCACTGTTGACTTTGTAATATCAAAAGGATAACATCGCAGATTCACTAACCGAAGGGTTAATATTGAGATCAAGTTGAGAAAACATCGAAAGAAATGAAACTAAAGCTCATGAAATGAAAGGCTTTTATGTAAAGGAAAGACTTAACTTGTTGATTAGAGATCCCTAGATATAGGTTCAAAGGGACAACCTAATTACATAAACCGTGTGCAATTACTGTGGGGTTTATTATCCCAAGTCTGTTATTATGAGTTAAGTAGCGATCAAATTGATATAGGCTAAGCAAAGCTTTTAATGACCATTATGTGCTTCAAAGAGTCTAGCAACATAAGCCACCTATGTGAGAATGAAGTAGGGATGCTTCAAGGAAACTATTAGGCATAGTTCTTTCAAACTCTTGTAGAACCAGGCAGTGTCCATGGCTTTAAGGACATACCCATGAGAACTAAAATTCTTTTCAGAGGGATAGTTGTGTGAAGTATATCATCGTTTACACAAACGACAAAACAATTCAAGGACATCACGTCTACTGGTTAGCTAGTAAAGTAAATATGTTGTCAAAGGGAAGGTTCAAAGTAGGACACCTTCCTATCCTATGCAAATATCGATCATAGAGTCTATCACCACATCGAGTCAAAATGATTTTGATAAATGATAAATTTCATTTATGTGGGGGATTGTTGGAAATTTTTTTGATAATTTTGGAGCTTTGAATGAGAAATTGATCCAAAAGTTATTGAGGAAAATGTGGAACCAATTGTTGGTTCATAAATGTGCAGATGTGCACGATGTGGGTAACGTGAATGTCTGAACCGGTCTAACTCCCAAATGTGAGATATTTTCCTCAAATAGAGAATATATTTTGGAAATAAAATGATAAATATTAAAAGGTTTCTTTAATCAAAATATTAATTTTGGAAATTGCTTATTTGTTTGATTCTCATTAATGCTTCATTAGGTAAAAAATTTACAATTGTTCACAATGTGAACTCCCTATAAATACAGTGTTAACCTATTAGGTTAAAAAAACTCAAAAACCAATTCAAAGGGATTTTTTCTCTAGTTTTTGGTGGTAGGCGAAGATAAGGAATAGTTCGTCATCTCGACAGTTGTGCTATTGCGCGCTAATCATCTCGTTGTTATATCCTGGGAGAGTGACGACCAAAGATCTCGAGCACTAAGGAATTACCTAAAATCTATCTTAAGAAAATTGCGTAATTGCAGACCTTAACTTATCTCTATTCATATATTTATGGTTTTATATTCATATTATTTAATCGAATATTTTCCATGTTATTAATTGTGTTTGTTTTATTCTTGATTCATGTACACGAATTTTATGACGATATCATACCGAGGAATTGAATGACATTTTCCACGACTTGTATGAATCACCGTGGAAGCAAATTGTGGATCTATAAAATATTTGATTTATTATTTTCTTTTCATCTCAAATTGTTATACCTATAACATAACCTTCATATAAACTCCTTGTCTCTATCGAATGAGACGTTTGACGAAGTTATAAGAGAGTGGAGAGCGAACCAAATAATCTCGGCAAGGTTGGTCTCGGTGGAGTTAAGTCGATCGTGCACTTCATAAATCTGAGTGTGCACATCCGATTGTGGATCCTCTACCAGTGTCGGTGGTGGTGCAATCCTACTAAGAAAGAAACACTCATTACGAGGTGTCATAGTGTCGGGATGAATAATGTAAGGTGTATAGGGAGTGCTGACGAGTAGTCTTATCGTATCCAAACATCGTACATCGAAACTATCCATAGAAAAAACATAAGTAAACTATGTATCATCAAAAGTCAATGGAAAAAGTCCAGAGGTAGATGAGTGATGTAAGGGCTGAAAATAAGCAGTCGATCGGAGTGCACAACTAGCTCAAAAGTGCGAGCAAACTAAAAACCCAAATTTACCTTAGTGTCGGTTTGCATACACCATAAAAAAAATAACTCAACCTTAGTTAAACAGGACATAGTGTCATTACATCCCGTGTAGTTGTATGCAAGAAATTGGTGGAGATATGAAAGTGTCGGGTCATGGTTGTGCCACCCTTTTGTTGTCTGGGCATTGTAGGTTAGCATTGTCGAACCGGTGGATATGAGGATCGTGCCACAAGAGCAGAGGAAATGATGCCACAAGAGCAAAGAAAAATTATGTCACAAGGATATGGATGCTTATTCAAAATTAAAAAGACTTAAGAAAAAAACACAAATACATAATATAAAAAATAAGAGAACTAATAAGTTAAACAAAGTCGAAGAGAAAGAAGAAGATGACATAAAAATATTGAAAGAAAATTAGGTTGAAAGAGAAGAGATGCGGCTAGGGTTTAACCGAAAAATAATCACTTAAATTTTTAGGAGATTATTTTTTATGTACGTGTATTGTCAAAAAAAAAAACAAGTTAACGGGTGATATATGACAAAAATAACGTAAAGATTGTCTTTTTAAAATTCATGTTCAATCGACTCCAGAGGTATTAATATATTTAACAGTGAATATTTTAGGCTGAAAATTAATAACGAAACAGTGATATAAATATATTTTTATATATAAAAAAAGAATGTGTTGTTTAATGATTTAATTAAATAATTATATTTTAATTTTAAATATAATTATATAAAAAATTGAAGACATTAAATTTATGTACTAATGGATATAAATTAGTATAATTCATATACTAACAGGCACTAACCACAACAGGTATAAACACACTAAATAATTGAAACTCGGCAAAATTTTACTATTTCAACATAAGATTGATTTGATTGAACAAGAGTAGAGTATACATATAGTTATCTCACTGTATAATTACCTGACTATATAAATTAGTATATAAATAGTTACCTGACTATATTAGTGTTGTATTATTGAGTCATTAGACTATCAAAAAGCTACAAAATAATCGTCTGATTATAAGACGTTGTTTTATTGAGTCATTTGACTATTAAAAGTTACAAAATGATCTCTCAACTATTCATTATGTTCCAAATTTATCATTTTTTGTTAACAAAATGACGATAATCTGAGCTAGATGTTAATATGTTGTCTAAGATATTAGGGTTGTTCACTATTAGGTTTTAACCGAATTAGTTCGGTTAATTCAACCGGCCACCGAATTAATTCGGTCAGAGAAAGGTTAATACTTTTTTAACATTTGGTTAATGATTAATTCGGTTCAAAATCGGTTAATTAACCGAATTAACCGAAACTATTAAACATTATATATATATTATAAATATATTTTAAGTTCAAACCCATTAAAAATTAATACTCAATTATTTTTTTAATCACAATATACTCATTAAATTATCAATACCTAATTAATTTTTAACTCAAATAAAAATATGAATCTATTATATTTAAATTAATCTAATTATAATTTTTTTTGATTAATTCGGTTAACCGACCGAAATAACCAAACTTTGTTCGGTTCGGTTAATATTTTCAAAAAAAGTTTCGTTCGATAAATTGTTAAAGAAAAAAGTTTGGTTAATTCGGTTAATAGTAATTTAGTTCGTCGATGGCAGAATTAATCGTTTAAACACCCTAGAGATATGATAAAATATGATCTCATAACCTAAAACGACTATCATACCTTCGACTATAGATTAACATTCAACTGAGATCATCATTAATTTTTAAAAGAAAAATGATTAGTTTGGATCATAATGAATAGTTGGTTGACGATTTTATAACTTTTAATAGTCGAATGACTTAATAAAGTAGCATTTTATTATCGGAGATCATTTTGTAACTTTAATAATCAGGTGACTCAACAAAATAGTGTCATATAGTCAGAGGATCATTTGTGTACTTTACCCTTAAATCAAATACTAACAATTAACAACAACAAAATGGTCAAAAGTCAATCCACTATAACCTTAAAAGGGGCGAGGGCTCCGCTCGTCTTCTTCTTCCCTAAAGCTAAAACTAATTTCTCCATAACCATCGGCTTCCAAAAGAAGGCAATTTGACTTTCCTTAGTTCCATTCCTCGCTTTAAAGCTTCACTTTCCTGCTTCCTCCTTTCTTCCGTTCTTTCTTCTGGTAAGAATCCATCTTTCATTGTTAATAGTCTCCGTACGCTCAATCCCTAAACCCTAATATTAAGATCAAGATGAATTGAGCTGTGTTTTCCTTAAAATTTCCGTTTCTGGTACCTGGGGGTTTCGTTTTCTAGGGCTTGGGGTCTTTTCCTTGGGCCTGAACTGTGCTTTTTTTTTTCTTTTCCCGTTTGTATAGAGTTGCTAGATTGGGTGATGGGGCAACTATTGTGAATTTGTACAGACTTAGTTTAAATATTTCTAGTCTTATCTTTCTAGAGCGTTGAGAGGAATTTGTTGTTCAACGGTTCGCTGTAAAAAAATGTCCTCGGCTGGTCTTGATGTTGTTACGATTCGAAATGAACCTTTGACTCCTTCCAGTCATTTGAATCTCAAATTGGATCATTGCGACAACGAATCTATTCGGGTGTATTTGGCATTTTCTGGATCGATGATTCCGATGCGGATTATGGAATCGGATTCAATTGAATCCTTGAAGCTACGCATTCAAACCTGTAAAGGTTTTGTTGTGAAGAATCAGAAGTTGGTTTGTGGAGGCCGCGAGCTGGCACGGAGCAATTCCCTTGTTCGTGACTATGGAGTCAATGATGGGAATGTTTTACACTTGGTTCTTAGGCTTTCTGATCTTCAGGTCATTAATGTTAAGACTTGTTCTGGCAAAGAATTTACATTTCGAGTTCGACGGGGACGTGGATATGATGTTAATTATGTGAAACGGCAGGTTGCTAAGAGAGAGAAAGGGTTTACTAATCTTGACGACCAAGAAGTTGTTTTTGATGGGGAGCAATTAGAGGATCAGAGGCTTATTGATGATATATGTAAGCATAATGATGCTGTGTTGAATTTATTGGTCCAGAAATCTGCCAAAGTTAGGGTTAAGCCTTTTGCTAAGAATTTTGAGTTGTCTATTGTGGCACCAGAATTGAAAGATAAGCGAGTTAATGACGTTGGTGTGACAGATGATAGAGTAAAATATGATTTTTGTGGTGGAGAGAATTATAGCAGAGGATATGAAGTTGAGAGACATGTTGTACCAAGGAAAACTCCTGACAGGGATTTTATACTGGAACCTGTTATTGTTAATCCTAAAGTTGAATTGCCATCAGTGATTGTGGAAATGATTAACTCCACATTTGACGGATTAGATAGCGGGAGAAGTCCAATCAGGTCTACGGAGGGTACTGGAGGAGCCTATTTCATGCAGGATTTGTCAGGCCAAAAGTTTGTTGCTGTTTTTAAGCCAATTGATGAGGAGCCTTTGGCGGTTAACAATCCTCGAGAACTACCAATGTCATCAGACGGTGAAGGGTTGAAAAAGGGTACAAGAGTTGGAGAAGGAGCGTTCAGGGAAGTTGCAGCTTATATTTTGGATCATCCTAAGAATAAGCGGCGCACTATATACGGTGATGAGAAAGGTTTTGCTGGAGTACCTCCTACTGCTATGGTCAAGTGTTTGCATAATGGGTTTAACAATCCTAATGGTTCACCAAAAGTCAAGATCGGGTCATTGCAGATGTTTGTGGAGAACAGCGGAAGTTGTGAGGATATGGGTCCTAGGTCTTTCTCAGTCGACCAAGTACATAAAATCTCTGTTTTGGATATAAGGTTGGCTAATGCAGATAGGCATGCTGGGAATATCTTATTGGGAAAAGATGAAGATGGGCAGACCTTGCTGATTCCTATTGATCATGGCTATTGCTTGCCTGAGAGTGTAAGTAACTTTCCTAATATGTCTTCATTTCCTGCAAATTCATGAATGCTATTATCATTTTTCCTGTTCTTTTTGCTTTAAACCCACATCTCTTATTTCTCTACTAGGTTATAAATGTTAAACACAATACACTGTATGGTTCCAATTCAACTGTGAATTTAACTTGAGTCACATCATAGATTCAGAATTAGAAGGTTATTGAACTTGTATTAGTTCTTATTTAGTCTAGAGACTAGTAAACCGATAATGTTATCCTGATTCTGTAATTCTTTTAATTTTAAGTCTTAACTGAAAAATAAGAGGCCAAACTCTTTTCTTTTTTTTTACCAAGGAATGATTGGGTGTCGAATTTTTTTCATGGATGTTAACGGTTTGACCTTAAAATAGCAATGAAATGAAATTTTAGTCACTTTATTTGACCAAAAAAATTCTTTAGGCACTTAAAACAAAAAAATGTATAGTTTGAGCACTTAATTTTTAGTTAAGCCCAATTTTAATTTGTTATTTAGCCAGCTGATTTATGCTGCCTGCTCGATTCTGCATCTTTCACAACATTGTTAATTTATGTTATACATGTTTTCTGGGCTTTGCAATCTTATTTTTTTCCCATGTTGTCTTTTGTTGTGTTTTCAAGGCTATTCATCGTTGTGCCCGTGTATGTTTTTTGTACAGTTTGAAGATTGCACATTTGACTGGTTGTATTGGCCTCAAGCTCGCCAAGCTTACTCACCTGAGATAGTTGACTATATAAAATCCCTGGATGCTGAAAAAGATATTGCCCTTTTGAAATACCTCGGATGGGATATGCCACCTAAATGCGCGCGTACCCTCCACATCTCCACCATGATTCTCAAAAAGGGTGCAGCGAAAGCGCTCACTCCCTTTGTCATTGGGAGCATAATGTGCAGAGAGAACTTGAACGGGGAGTCGATGATTGAGCAAATTGTACAAGAGGCAGAGGATCATGTGGGTCCTAATGCAAGTGAAGCTGCATTTCTCAAAAAACTATCCCAGATCATGGATCACCGTCTTGATGAGATCGCTGGATCGTCGTAATTGTTTTTGGTCATGCCAACCTCAAATCGCCTGGCATACTGGATATGGAAGCGCGATGATTTTAACTTAAGAAAAGGCTTCTTAATTTGAAGCCTTGATTCACATTTATTAAATTGATTTATTCAAGAATTCTTTTATTGTTCTTTTGAGATTTGTATTGGAGACATGGTTTTCTTTTTGTTTCATTTTTGCATGAGTTGCAGCAACTATTAGCTTTACACCATAATTTAAGGTTATCAAATTATCACTGCCTCAAGTCATTGCTGATGAATTACAACAGATATAGTGAGATAGAAATCTAAACCCTATAATGGGAATGCATCATTTACAGCAAAATGCCGAGTATATACCACTTATTGTTAATGATGGCGAAGGCTTACGACTTCAATATCCATACAGAATTCAAGAATCCTCGACTGCGATTAATATTCCAATAATATGCATCAATCGATCCAACTATAACATTTTAACTACAAAATAGGAATACGTCAATCGATCCAACTATAACATTTTAACTACAAAGGTTGGGTATGCAGGCACCACCTTCGGGATTTTTCTGTTCCTTCCATATCTGCCCCGTTACTCGCAGCTTCAACTCCTTCCTGTCCCCTCCAGAGAAGAAAAGCGCCATGTTACGCTGTATAATAAGGCCATCATGGCTATCCGTAACCTTTCGGTGGCTATCTCTTATGCTTCTTGGGGTGCCTTCCCAAATGAGTTTCCTGCCATTCCCCCCAACTTCTAGGCTATAACTGTAGTTGCGGGCTTCGATCTCATCGCCCATGAAACGGAGGAATGCCATATAAACAGGGGCCATCCCGAGCTGAAAGGCTTCAAAATGCAGACAGAAGTACTGACCAAAACAATAAAATACCTAAACATATATGACAAGATATTAACCATTTAGCATTCAGGAAAATCTAAGATTGTACTGTACTGTGGGACTTCAGGGCTGGAAGTTCAAATAACTGGCAACGAACATACATCAACAGCATATTATTCTTCATCTACATCAAAGCAGATTAGCAAGGGTTACACTGTCACGTATCTATATATCTAATGCATTTTATCAATGAACTAAAACAACAAACTAAATCAGTGAAGGCAAAGAGCTAGCAGCCAAGCACAAGAATGGAGAATTTGACTAAGCATCCTGCCATGGTAGCCTCTCTTGATTTCGAGAAACCACGGTGACGTGAGGCACTGGCTCCAAAAAGAAACTACCAATAGTATAATGGGCAGCTTTTTAAATTCAGGAATAGAAAACATTAGGCAACTTAGAATTTTACATTATTGGTTGTTCATCATGAATTTGTCGAATGTCTCCAACCTGAATGAAGAGTATGGCTACGATGTATGAAAGTGGCAACCTTTTCCAGTACATGCTCAACTCTGTCGTAGAAATGTCAATGCCGTATTCATAAACAAGAAATCACGAAATTGCCGATTATTATATCTTCTTTATCATTATCCATCATCTATTAGTTCAATTCCTAATCAGAACAAAGATGCCTAAGAGCGAGTATACTTACAGTGAGCAACCATGTTGCATTTTCTACTTCCTGAGGATTAGACTTCACATAACGATGGTTAAAGGTGCATCCAGTGTGCATGTCCACCTTGTGGTCATCCTTTAGGTGAGCAACAAGGAGAGGGATATCGCCAACAACAGCACATTCTGATCCAGCATATGGGCAATTGTATGGCCTGAAGTTGCATATGGCCTCATGTTTGAGCTTACTATAGTAGGGAAAGATCTCTGGGCATCCGAGTGACGTAAATTTGCAAGGCAGTTGAAGAGATTCGGCCACCTTCTCTAGTGCCAGGCATCTAATATCACCAAGCTCCTGCCTACAAGTGGGGCATCGATTGTGTACCCTTGTTTTACAGGTTGAACAGAGGGTATGAGCATTGTGGCACTGTGGAAAAGCAAATTTTAAAATACTTAAGATAAGAAATTATATAGAGCAGCTTGATAGAAACCCAGTCCAATGCTACTAGCACACAAATATGGTTTTAACAGCATACAAATATGGTTTTACCAGCACACAAAAGAAGCAAACATAGAAACATGCAGATGTGCCTAGGTATAAACATAAATCTGCTCATGCTAAAGATCCAGCACGAAACCCAACCCGAAGGGGAAAAATAGCGTAGAAGTGGCTGTCGTCATCCTGAAACATCATTGGCTATGGTCAGCTGCTTATTTAACCAACCACTTGTCCCATGCAGGCTAATGATATGTACATACACCCATAGAAGGAGAAAGAAAGAAAGAAAAAAAGAAAGAAAGATAAGTTGACAAATTTCATTAATTTCAGCAAATAATACCGTCTCAATTAAGCCTTTTACTAAACCATATATGTTCATGTGAGGAAGATTAAAAGAAAGAATAGGCACTAAGGCACTCTTCAATTACTATAGCTATAAACACAACCTTACCAGCATTGATTATACTCTAGATGAAACCACTATATCTGTGTTTTTTTAGTGAATTATGCAACTTTAAAACACATATTTCTAATGTTCTTGACTCCCGAAATATCCTAGGAAACTATCATGGGAATAGACATGGATTCCTATATATGCATGAGAATTGAGAAAATGATATTCTATGCGGCCTTTCAGTTTCCGTTCAATTTGCCATCTTAGCCTCTCCAGAATGAGAGAAAGAAAACCACAGCTTTTGACTTTTCTAAAGCCCTTCCCATCCCAAACAGCTACAGACATATCACCTTCATTTACAATCCATAATTCCCTGCACCTGTGCCGAAATTTACAACATAATTGACCCATCATCTACTTCAATTTGCTCCACTTTACTCTATCAAAAAAGGCGGTTATAAGTTTCATTGTCATACAGAAAAAGGACTCATGTTCACTTCTTTGTTCGATCAAAACAAGACGGTAGCACCGGCATAGTCACAACTCTCAATTCAAATGGAAAAGTTGTAAGTTGACAGTTGACACCATTGACCAGGATCAAGCCCCGATAACCTCATCCCCTTTCCCAAATTTGTAATGATAAAAAAAACCAAGGCAGTAGTAGCATTGTAGCGATTCACGCACAGGGCCTAATTCTAAAATAGTCAACAAAATAAAGTCAACCTCAAATAGCATCCCTGCAAACAAAGTTCTCCAGCATATAGTACTAGTTCTAACCCTAAAATCTCTGAAAATAAATTGCAACCCTAAAAGAGCACAATCAAAAACATAAGACTAAGCCTAAAAAGACAATAAATTGACTTTAAAAAGTCACGAAAAAAAGGAACAGATTAATACCATTCAAGCACCCCAAAAGCATTAAACAAAGATGTTCACAAAGAAGAAAAAGAAACCGGCCTGGTGGATCGGAAGGTACATGGACTTGGTACAGACAGGGCATTCAAGGAGTTCATGGACACTGGTGGTGCTTGGGTTAACTGCCGATGACACGTTACTGTTCCTGTTCCCATTGTTGCCGTGGGTCTTCAACAATGGAGAAAGCTGATGATGATGATGATGATTGTGATGGTGTACTTCATCATCATCAATCACATCTGAAGATGCCATACAATCAAATGATATCTGACTCCATCGGAAAAAGGAGATAAATTTACCAAAATTTATCACTAATTAACATCACAATTAATTGTAAATGGATGTAGCTTTGCTTTGTCGGGCGGCTGAGGTAATAGAAGGGCCAACTGGCTACGACTTGGACTAAATCTAAATTCTAGTAGATTGTTTAAGGTACTAAAATTTAATATATTTGAAAATAATTATTTTTAATTTAAAGATTGAAGTTATGTATAATTACAAATTTATTATAAAGTAACTATTTAAAATATATAATATTTTCATGATTAAAGTAAATATTTAAAATTATAACCCTATCTTAATATGAGAACCAAAACATGAATCAGCTCCGGTTGGAACCAACCCTACATTGTCTGGACTTTTCAGACAATGGGATATGATAGGACTAGTAATTAAGAAATAGGGTAAATTATGCATATAATACTAAAATTATCAGTTTTAGTCCGTTTTAATATTTAAACTTTCAAAATTTTGAAATCATATCTAAATTTAGTTTTCATTTCATTTTAATATATGTCGCTAAAAACTTAAAGTGTTTAGTACCTAAACTATCTATTTTGGTTTGTTTTAGCATTTAAACTTTCATTTTTTTCAAAACTTAACATTAAATTTTGAATGGAGTACTAAAATGAAACAAAAATCAAAGTTTTTAAAGGTATGTATCAAAATGAAAAAAACTAAAGTTTATGTATAGTTTTGAAAAAATTAAAAAATTTTGTATTGAAAACATGTCAAAATTAATAGTTTAAGTATTAAATGTCTAATTTACCCTACAAATATCATTGCCAAAACATTTCAAATATACTATAGGTCTTTGAATTTGAATTGGTAATTTGATTCTTAAGCTAATTTAGAAATAACTCTATTATTTAAATTAAGGAGATTACAAATTAATGTGTTCTACATACTCTTAATCATTTGATAATAAATGTTCAATCATCTCTACTATAATTGTTAGTACTCGATTTTGATACCTTTAAGAATAATAATTATTCTTTTAATCACATAGATAATTTGATTAACGCAAAACAACTCTAATTAATCAAAGGTAAAACAAAATTATGTACACAAGTTTTTTTTATACAAAATCCCCATGTTAACTACTACCATTAACATAGAATAACAACTTAAAAGGTAAATTAAAGCAAGATTTAGGGACATTATTATTATTATTCATGAATATTACCGGATTTATTTATTTTCTACTATGACATTACGTGGTCCGCCAAGCGAGGCCGAGCAATAGCCAGTAAAGGCTCGGCCTTGGGCATGGTCATCCCATAAACCTCCACCGTAATAATATCTTCGGGCCTCAAGCCTTCCGGCGGGCTCCAATCGAAGCAATGAAAGAGCCTGGCCAAAGCCATGAGCACCAACGTCACTCCCAGCGGCGCGGGGGGACACTTTCTTTTCCCGGCACTGAAAGGTAGTATTTTGAAATCGGCTCCATGGCTGATCTCGACTCAACTCCCGTCAGCTAGCCAGTGTCTCTCCGGCCTGAATACCTCGACGTCGTCCCACAGTTTGGTGTTCCAGCCAAGCCCGTGCGCGTTGATGAAGACACGTGTCTTCGCCGGGATGTGATAACCGTGGATGTTGGTGTCTCGAAGCGACTCGTGCGGGATCAAGAACGACCCCGCCGGGTGCATGCGGAACGTTTCTCGTACTACGCAGCGCAGGTAGTTAAGGTGAGGCAGATCGGATTCCGCCACCATACGGTTGCGACCCACGACGAATCGAGCTCATCTTGGATCTTACGTAGGACACGTGGATGCTTTATCACCTCCGCCATTGCCCATTCGTTGGTCACTGCTGACTTGTCCGTTGCCGCTGCTATCATATCCTAAAGAAAACACAAAACCAAGAAATAACCCACACACTGCACTGTAACTGGAAAAATTAGAATTAAAAGCTAAAGGTCTAATTATGGTCTTAGTCCTTGTATTCTAAAAACTTATATTTATTCTATATTTTAATTTATAGATCAATCTAAAAGAGGATAGAACCTAATTAGAGCTTTGATATCGGTATCATTCATGAGAGGTTTAGCATCTTCACCGGGCAATGACAGCAAAACATCAACAAAATCCATTTCTTCGCCATCATCTTCTTTGCCAAAATCCTTCTTTGCTCTCCTATGTTCTTCAATGATCCTTTCATGGAAATCATCCACTCTCTTCTCCACTTCCCTCGTCCTTTTCTCGCACCCATGGGGATCCACCCACCTCCAAATGGGCAAATAATCCCCCCAAATAGATAATCCCCAGTTGCCAAAACAGCTCATGTGTTATGTGCATGAACTCCATGGTTTCACTTGGGCCAGCAGATTCGGCCCCAAAATATTGCCTCCCTAGCAACATCCCAGTCACATTGTTCATCGAGAACGCACCCAAAACTTCCCTCAAGTTCGCTGCCTTCCCGAGCCGAAAACGTCCCAGTCACATTGTTCATCGAGAACGCACCACAATTGGACCATTTCAACACTTATCTTCTGATAGGATCTTGCTTTGCTTGTTCAATGGCTATTATTGTTACTACTACAAGAAAATTCTCTTCCTTCGTTCTTTTCAACTAAAGTTGGATATACCCTTTATAGAATTTGAAGGAAAAAAAAAAGGGAAGGGATGGCCTTGAATTCAAGAAGATATTAGGTTTTCTGCACCCAGCTTTTTCTACCCTACTTAAACAAAGCCTACAGAAATGATTGGTACAAAATGTGTACTGTTAATTTCACAACCCCAGAATTTGAATGCTTCTTTTGGGTTGTTTCCTGGTTCCTGCACCATTCACATTCATGTTCTTTTACCCTTTTTATCATACAGAATAAATATTCAGCAACATTGGCATATTATAGAATCCTCAAACGATACATAATAATGCTGATGAGGCAAAGAACAAAAAAAATAAGTATCAATTTCTAAGCAACATTAAATTTACAAATTTAGTTCATCTTGCAAAGATATCTCATTATGACAGATATGAATATGATATAAAAAGAAATCATAGAAATTTTGCTGTCCTATTTGGACAATAAGTAGTTATTTCTTCTACTCCTACCAGGTTCCTTATGCTTCTTTAAGGATTACTTACTACCTGTGTATCAAAAACATTCTGAAGAAGCTTTTTCTAATCTTGTTTTTCAGTTTAATTTTGCACCTATGGACTATGTTAAATGCGATTGTGTGCTATCTAAGGGATTTGAGTCGCGCGAAAATGCTGCAATCAACTTCTCCCTTGTTAGCTTCTCATATCCTTGAGGCTCGATAAGGAATGTATGGTACACGGTGTCATCTGTTGCGGAAAGTTTTGACTCGAGCATGTTGATCTGTGCTTCTTTGAGTGCTTGGATTACTCTTGATGCAGGATGTGAATCTAGAGGGCAGCTTACTTGTATAACAACCTCATCATGAATGGCTTGAACATTGATATCGGGAGCTCGGATATGGTTCTCTGCATTTGCATTTGCATTAGGATCCGATCCTGACAAAACTCTTGGAGTACTACTGCCAAACCTCTTCCTCTCGGCTTCCATGGCATTTAGCTTTGCCTGAAGTTCGTTGATGTAAGCAATTGCATCTCCTAACAATGAAGCTTTATCCATCTTTGATATCTTGGGCACCACAGCTCGCAAGGCATAGAACCGCTGGTTCAGCTTTTCGCGCCGCTGCCGCTCTGCTTCGACATGATTTAGAGGCTCTTCTCTTCCATTAGCAGGCTTTCTACCCCTTTTCCGGGGCCTCCTAGCATCAGCTGCACTTGGCTTCTCTTCCAGGCACAAAACTTCGACATCCGAGTGCTCAAAACCAGTCCTTAATGGCCTAGTAATGGCAGAAGGCCTTGAAGTAGCCCCTGAAAAATCAATCTGTATTTGAGCGGGCTCTTGTGATTGATAGTGGTTAACCTGAAAGTCGCCCCTAGCTCCTTTAGCAAGCTCTTCAAAACTATTCACCGTATTTTTTCGAGAAGCAAGTGAACTCCATTGTTTCACTCCATGAACATGTTGCAAACCCAAACCATGCACACCATTTTGATGACTCGAAAACGAAAGCCTGCCACCATCATCAGCATGTGCACCCCATGCAGCTCTATCATCAATATTTCTAACTGCAAGTTCCTGCCCAAAAATCTTTGGAACTCCTTCAACTGTTTCAACAATCCCCGAATTCGAGATTCGGGGATTTTCATCTTTCTTCTCATTCACCACAGGCATGGCTGCTGCCATTTCTTTAGCCCCAAGCAACGAAGAACTCGATGAAAACAAACTTCTTATCGATTGCAGCAACTCTAAGCTTTCAGGGACATGTCTCACAGACCCCAATTCAACAACACCAACATCCGTAGGAACCAAAACAATGGTCCGAATTCCAGCAGATTTTGTCAAAAACGACCGAACACAATACTCGGAACCCGGTTTCAATGCATCCGAGATCCAAACATGGTTCCCAGAAGCAAAACACTTCCCCGGACCGCCTTCTCCTCCACGAAAAGAGAAATACATGGATGCTAAAAAGAACATCTCAGTATCAGTGACTCTATCCAAACCAATAGCATAATTATCCTCACATGATCCACCGAACAAAGTATGCAATCTCTGCAACACCCTTCTCCTCATACGCTGCAGAGTCTCGTCTTCGAGTCGGGGAGCAAGAATCCGAGTAGCTTCGGATTCTTCCCCTTCTCTAGGCTCTCTGCAACACCCATCTCCCCAACCGAGTACCCAATTGCCAGAGTTGGAAGTCGAAATTTGCCAGAAAATGGCATAGTTCCAGCTAAAATTAGAAGCGTTGGGGCGGTCCACAAGATCTGAGAGCTTGTTTTGAAGATTCTCATCACCATTTATAGCCATTAAAAGGTTCTCATTTGAAACTGAACTTGTTAGCAAGAAGTCAAATGCTTTTGTTCCCAAAACAAAGGCAACCGTAGCCTTATCTTCATTGTTCCAATCCCAGCCTCCCATACCCACTTGAATTTGCATATCCTAAACAACCCCAGAAATGAAAAAAGATATTTTCTTTTTCAAATACCCAAATTATATCTCATCCATGAAAAAAAAAAGTAAACATTTTTTTCAATGTATTGAGTTTTCCCTATTTGCGGAGTTTAAAGTAACCATTTTCCTCCCTTTTCATAAAAGAGCAAAAATTAGAGGAAAAAAGAAACGATAATTGAAGAGAAATAATAATACACACCAGTTTGCACGAAAATGGCAATTTAGGATTAACAGAAGAGCGGGGAAAATCACAGAGCACTGTCGAAGAAACAAAACACAAAAAAACAAAGCAAAAGAGGCAGTTAAGATGGAAGCAGAAGAAGCAATCCAGTTTTTTATATATTTAAACCCAAAAAAAAGTCCAAAAAAAACCCTTTTTTAAAATTTCCCACTTTGTAGCAATTCGTGAGATGGAAAAACAAGGGATAGGAAGAAGGGGGAAAGGGAAAATTGTTGTTGTTATTTTTACAAGAGAACCATGGTTAAGCTGAAAGAGTTGAATACTAACCAAACCATGGTCAAAATTTAATTTATTTTTTGGCTTAATACCAAAATAAGTGCCCAAACTATACAATTTTTCTCAAATAGGTTCCTAAACTAATTTTCGTCTCATCCAGATGGCTAACGTTACAAACGTTACCCATTTAGGTGCTCGGGCCATCAACGGCGTTAATTTTCTCCGTTAAGTGACACGTGTCAAAATCTGGTGATTTTAAAATTTATTTTTTAAAAAATATTAAAAATATTATGATATTTATATAAAAACACTAATTTTCCTTATATTTTAAAAGTCCCAAAATCCCAAATCCAAACCTTAATCCGTTGTCGCCGCCTTTCCGGCCACAACCACCGCCAATGGCGTAGTCCCTACCATCCTCCTACTCATATATCATCGTATTTTCCTTCGATTGGTCGTCGAAATTGCGTGGGATCGAGATTTTAATCCTAGGGTTCGAGCCGTTTCAAATGTTTATTTGTCATCGATCGGTCATGATTTCATGGGGCTTTTGGTCAGCAGGGGGAGGGGAGGTCGAGTGGAGGCTTGACGACGGGCGGTCGATGTGGGTTTAGGGGTTGAAATGAATGTTTTCAAAGTTTTGAGTTTATTTCAAAATTTATGTTTTCTATTTTTTAAGAAAATATATAATTTTAAATAAATTTTTTAAAATTACCCTATTATGACACGTGTCATTTAGCGGGAAAATTAACATCGTTACAGGCCCAAGCACCTAAATGGGTAACGTTTGTAATGTTAGGCACCTGGATCAGACGAAAATTAATTTAGGCACCTATTTGGGAAAAACGATATAGTTTGTGCACTTATTTTGGTATTAAGCCTTAATTTTTTATGTTCAATTCATTTTTTTAATATAATTTAACATGTATTTATTTTTTATTATTAAAAATAATTATATTTATAATTTCTAAAATGTATAGAAGATACTCAAAAAAAACTTATACCTCAAGTTAACAATAATTATAAATTGAATTATACAATTATTGATTAATAATTTTTTTATAATTCTATGGGTGATTATAAGGTGATATCTATTTAAAAGAATTCAATTATTAACAACACGTGTATTTTACAAACATAATTATTTTAAATCAGGACTTTTAAAAGATGATAATCTCTTTCAGTTCAAGACCGGTAAAATAACAACTTTGAGACATGATGGAATTGAAAGTTTAACAAAAAGCAGGTCTTAGGATACCAATAACTTTTAATAAGTTTGAGATTTGAAGATTAATCAGGTAATTAAGCCATAATAATGCATCCTCCGAGGCCCTTAATTTTGTATAATCTTAGGCAAGACCAAAGTTGAGACTGATGAGCCTAATAAAATAACAAAAAATAAAGGAGGAAAGTGTGATTTGTGGGCTAATCTTATTTACTTACAGACTTTATTTTATAATAATGAAACATAAAAGTTGTAGTAGTATAGTTTAATTATAAATTGTGTAAAGTACACGAATGATTCATCGACTATAGGGTGTTATTTTATTAAGTCCCTCGACTCTTAAATGTTACAAAATTTTTCCTTCGACTATAGTTTGTTACTTTGTTGAGTCTCTTGACTGTTAAAAGTTACAAAATAGTCACCCGACTATTCACTATAGAAGGATTTGGTTCTCTTTCGTTAAAAAATTGATAGTATTATGAGCTGAACGTTAACTTTCTGATTGTAATTTGATAAAATATGATATCGGAATCTCAGCCATCATGCTATCGTCCAGCTCAGTCAACCGCCAATCTTTTAATAGAAAATGACGACTTTTGGACGTAATGAATAGTCAGATGATCATTTTGTAACTTTTAATAGTTGAGTATCTTAACAAATCAACATTCTATAGTCGAATGCCCATTTTAAAATTTTTAATAATTAATGAAAGAGATCAATTCAAAAGTAAACTCATCGACCGTGTGAAAATGAGAAAAAAGAGGTCATCTTAAATGAGGGGGGGGGGGAAGACAGATTAAAACAATCAATTGGAGTAAGCAACAGTGAAGAATGAGATGGAGATGATAAGAGACATCGAGAGATTGAAATTGAGCTCTTAAAAAACATTTTTTATTCTGTTTTCACATTTTGTTGCATGGCTGTCCGGCACGTATACCAACTTTCTTACCATTTTCTTTTATAAAATAAATCATCAAATTTCAAAACTAAAAATCATTATCTAAAAACAGTTTTTTTTTTTAATGAAAAGTTGATGAATGAGCTAAATCTTAGACATCTCACTCCCATCCTGATGTTAAAAAAATTAAGGATAAATTACATGTTTACTACCTAAATTTTTTATTTTTTTCAAAATTATATCTAAAGTTTAGTTTTTATTTTATTTTAGTACCAATACTAAAAATTTAATGTTAATTTTATTTTTAAAAATAAAAGTTTAAGTATTAAAATGGATCAAAACTGATAGTTTAGATACTAAATATGTTAAGTTTTTAACAGTGGGATACTAAAATGAAACAAAAACTAAAAGTTAGGTATAATTTTTAAAAAAATTGAAGTTTAGGTAAAAAAAAGAATCAAAATTAATAGTTTAGGTGTTAAATGCATAGTTTACCCAAAAAGGAATTAGATTTTGGTGGATAATATATGTGTGTTTAAGAGTGTGATACTAAAATGAAAAAAAATAAACGTTAGGTATAATTTTAAAAATTTAAAAATTTAAATACTAAAATATATCAAAATTGATAGTTTAGATATTAAATGTCTAATTTACCCAAAAAGATAATTAGATTTTGGTGGATAATATATGTGTATATATAACAAAAACGCACCGGTGTGAAATATTGAAGAGACCAGAAAAGACCGCATGTGGTACGCGTTTTCTCTTTTAAACGTGCGTCGTTTTCAGTTTAACAAACGCGTTGCCTGATGTGGACACGAGAGCACATCCGTTGCGGCTTACTTTACTGGGTGAGTTTCACATTAGCCTGCACGATGAAAAAAAAGCAAACTATGTGCTCCGTTCAACCCTGTTTTTTATTGGTTTAACATTTTCATAGAAAAAGATATTTTTCTGTATTAATATTCCTGCCTATGGGTTTTCTGGAGTTGCTCAAATTACGATTGCTTCTAGCTTAAGAAACGTAGGCAATGAACTGATAAATATGTATACCGTATTTTCTTCCAACAACAACTTTGTCATGTTCCGTGCAAATTTTGGCTGGGTTCAGTCACTGGGCCCAACCATTATGAAATATTCTAAAACTCTTTAGGGATGTAAATGAGACGAGGTAGATCGAGAATTACACGAGATCGACTCGGTCAAAACTCGTTCAATACTCGAATCGAATGAACTCGACTCGAGCTCGAACTCGACTCGAGCTCGATCTCGACTCAAATTTTTAACAAGCTAAAACGAGTTACTTAATACTCGACTCGAAAAGCTCGCAAGCTACTTGAAACAAATATTATATTATAATTTTAATTTTTTTTTAAATTTAAAATTACATTATTAAAAATATATTATTGATAATTATAAATATTTAAAAATATATTTTTAAATATAAAATAAGATTTTTCTAGGTTCAAATTTGAGTTTGAGTTCAAGCTTCAATCGAGCTCTTGAATTTTTTTGAGTTCGAGCCTTTTTGAATTCGATTCAAATTTCAATATTTATTTCAATATTATAAAACGATCATCATGGAACTCGTTTTCCGTCAGATAAAACTTTAAAAAAAATCAAAGAAAAAATAATTGTATTGAAAAATAAATACAAAGTAAATTAATAATTGTAAAAAGTAAAATGTTTAAAAAAATAAAATAAAATTTATTTATTTTCTAAGTTCTCGACGATGCCCAATAGTCTTAAATGACCTCGGATGGTGGCACCTTTCCAAAACTTGGTAGACCGATATCACGAGGTCGTAATTGTTCCGCCTTACTACGGGGCACCATTCATAAGAACACATTTATTATTTATATTTTCAAATGTTTTGAAGTTTAAACAATTATTTTAAAAAATAATTTAAAAAATTAAGAATTTATAATGTTATGGTGTCAAAATTTAAGAATTTAGGATTTTAGAATGTTATAATGAAATAATTTGAGAATTATGAATAAAAAATTAATATAAAATGAAAATGAAAAATAAAAACTATATAATAAATCGAGTACCGTTTTGACGGTCTCCGGTTAACTAACATTTTATGACCCAAGCCCAACCTAGAATCCCCGAAAAAAGTAGCGAGTACACCTTACACCAGTATGACACACAATTGACCAATAAGAGTGCCACATGGTACCACCAAAGTGGCTAACCAACATTTTCTTTAACATGCTCAATTGAAAACATTCATTTAAAATTTGCTCATGATAAAATAAATAATATTATATAAATTAGTTTACAATCGGGAGCTCCCATAATAACATTCCAAAATATACAAACCAAAGTTTAAATTTAGTCATGACTCGATAATATAAAACATGGTTACAATTATATATGTCATCTAAGAAGAAACTTAGATGTATACTATGCTATGAAATATGGGTTTGGACCTACTATGCACAAAAGCTCTTCAACTGCTCCACCTATGAGTATGCGTAAGGAAACAAATTCCAAACGCTGAGCTAACTAGCTCAGTGTCACACTAACAACTAAATCATACTAAGAGTGCATCAATATGCTCAAGCTATCAGATCTCATGTATCAGTGAGTATACTCACTCTCTATTGTAGGGTAGACATCATTGTGTGGCTAAGGGTTACATCTCGAAGCTTACACACCCCTCTAGTCTACCAAGGATGTGGCCCAGAATCTCTACATCGTACACACACCCTCGACTAACCCACCCCTCACGGGTTTCGAACCTCACGCCCTAGTTAGTCAGTTTAAAGTGCCTCGCGCACAACCTAAGGATATCTAGACTGAATCTATACATCGACAATGTATC